TGTGTGGGGGGGGTTGTATTTGACAGATTATCTTATAAAAACATAGAACATGGGAAGTAAGCATCATCTCAGAAAAAGTGGTGTGATGCAGTGCAAGGTCTACATCCAGGGAGACGCGACGTCCCTTTGTAAAGGTTAGAAAACAGTGGAGGGGTGGGGGGCAGGAGCCAAGATATTCGTTCAGGAACCAAACCCTTTAAGACTACATATATGGAGCGCTGGCCGGTTTGGCTCAGCAGTTAGAGCATCAGCCTACGGTCCAGAGAGACCCGGGTTCGGTTCCCGCTAAGGGCATGTACCTCGGTTGCAGTTTATCCCCAGCCCTAGTTGAGTCGTGCGGGTGGCAATCACTTGATGTGTCCCTTTCACGTCGATGTTTCTCTCTCTCTCTCCCCCTCCCTCCCACTCTATTGAACAAAAAATGGAAAAATGTCCTTGGGTGAGGATTAAAAAAAAAAAAAAAAAAGACTACATATATGGATACTCCTCATAAAGACTGTATGGCAAGATTAACCTCAGTTCTTGAAAAGAAAAAGAAAAAAGATTAACCTCAGTTCTAAAAACATGAGGATTTTAAAAAATAACAGTATACAAAATCACAATCTAGAAAACTCAGTAATAAGGACATACTGTTTCTGCATTTTCCAGTTAGTCTTCAATCAGAAGATGCACAAAACAACTGCTTCATAACATCCAACATTCAAGTACATCATAAATAAACATGCAATAGATGATAATTAAATCTACCATAAAGAATTCTCCCCCAAACCAAATACACAATTTAGGCAAAATAAAATTACATATTACACAAAGGAACAAGAAAAATAGGTGCCACAAAGTTAAGAAATAATTGCCAGGAACAACCTCTCTAGAAGAAAGTAAACTAAAACCGTGAATAACTACAGGAGTGTCAAGGGAAGTGGAAAACGCAAGAAGGTTTGGGGGGATATTTAAAAGGTCCAAACCAGCTTAGCTCTTCTAAAAGTAACACCGTATTAGGTTCTGTTATATAGATACAATTTAGCATGTACTACTTAGTACTTATTCTGCATATGGTTGCTAGATATGAGCTATTAGGGCAATCAAATTATTAATGCCTTTGGGCAAACATTAATTATATCAAGTCAATGGTTACTTACAGTACTACATGTGCAATACATTCAATTTATAAGTCATCTCAAAAGAGAAAACAAAAAAACTAATTTTATCCCCTAGGAAATATTTGCTGAATATGGAACTCTAGTTCACAAAAGTACAAAATGGCGATGAGCAAAGTAATTTGCTAAGGGTGAAACTTCTAGAGATAAAACTGAGAAAAATAAAAAGGCATAACACTTAATAAAAACATCCTACAATAAATATACTTTTCTCTGTATTAGTTTTAATGAATAGGGGAGGATGGCTTATTTCAAACGTCTGTAATACATTTGAGGCCATATATCACAATGCAATCCCTTTTTAACACGCAACAAAGTTTATGGATGCAGAAACTGAAGATCTGAGAAATTAAGTATTTGGAGGGAAAGAGAGGGACTTTATTAACAGTTAATATCTTCTAGTGCTGATAACAGTCATAACAGAATGATCACCACATAAAGTATTTAAGATGAAAATAATTTAAGCAATTTTATCATCTCTGGAGATGGATACCATTGTCCAGTCAACATTAGACATGGCTTGCAGAGAACAAGTATTAGATATTCTTACTGAAAAACATTACTTCTAAATCTCACATTTATCAAAACTAAACCAAATATTCATAAGGTATTTTTCGGAATTTATTTTAGATAATGAGACAAGCAGAAAGGAAATTTTATTTTCCTTTGTGTAAGTCTTTACAAACCAGCCCTTTAATATCTCTGCCCAGATACTTTGTCATAATGATTTCTTTTTTTCTTATTTCCTAATCCAATTCAGTATTCTTTTATAGGGAAAATAGCAAGATTCTAGTTTCTTCTATATTGCTTTAAATCTTTTAAGAGAAATATTTATGGCCTAAAAACAGCAATTTACATCATATTTCTTACTGGTTCTCAGTAAGTATCCCTTGTAAATTATGGTGATAAATACAATGAACCCCCAGAGAAGAAATTTCTGGACTAAGTGATTCCAAGATAGAATCAATTGCCAAAATGGCAATTTTTATGTACAAATGGAAATCAGAACAAAGAAAGAGCCTTGGAGTAGTGGCAAGTGCTGATGGGTTAGATGCTAAGCTCTGTTGGAAACCTGTCCCCAGATGCCAGACTATAAATTTCTTAAACTCTTTTCCACCACCTATTTCTAGAAATAATTTCAAAAGAATGTCTGATAGTATCCTTTATGATATAAACATGCCTCAAAATTCCTGCAAAACCTTATCTACAAATACAAATACACCACTCTTATTGGCAACTCCCTTTTTTAGGAAATAGTCTCACATTTCAAATCCCAATGTGTATACATTTTATGCTATTTTCTCTTAAAACAGTTACTAGATAAAACTTTTCTGTCAAAGTATTGTGAACATGCTACATACCTGTTGTCAACTTTGTTGTCAAGTTCTAATTGTCCTACAACCAGTGGCTTTCAAGCTTCATTATGCCTAAGAATCATCTGGGGCATCTGTAAAATGCAGATTCCTGGGCCCCGTCCAATATTCTCTAAGTGATTCTGATGCAGGTGGTCAAAGGATCAAACTTTAGAATTCCGGTACAGGTGGTTCTTAAATTTATGGCAAACTGCTTTCCTAGATAAACTGCCATGTCAAAATATCATCAGTTGAGCCCTGGCCCGGTGGCTCAGTTGGTTGGAGGAGCGCCATCCCGTACACAAAAGGTGGGTTTGATTACTGGTCGGGGCACGTACGGGAGGCAACTGATCACTGTGTGTCAAGTCTCTCACAAATCAAGCCTCATTTTCCCCTATAAAGTTACAAATTTTATGAAGCAACTGGTTTTGTTTAAGAAATGTGGCTTAACACCATACTTCATCACCAGTACACTGCTGTATAAAGTATAAAGCTTTCTAAAGAATACACAACAAATAACTAAGAATACAGTAAACAATTATAAAGGACTTAATATGATAAATATCAGTCTATCATACAAACCTTTTTAAAATATAATTCTTGCTTTATTTCTACTGCAACATAAAACACCTTAAGACTTGGAATTTAGAAAGGTTTTCTGAGAACATAAGCAATTTTAAGAAGACTTTTTCTTTTTTTTGTTCTTAAGACTTTTGATAATATTTAATCATTTAGCACTCTTTCAGAAAATAATCCAGATTATTATATTACTGCCCCCTTTACTTGCTGTATTTTCTTGTAGCAGCATAAAACATCAAATTATGGACTTCCACTTGGAAAGAAGATTTGAGTGTTCTTTAACATCTCTAACTTCACCTTGCCCTATGTTCACCTCTGCACAGGATGCTGCTGAGCTTTGCAACTGTTTCTGATCTCCTGAAACAGCAATTACATGTGGTTCAACTTAAATAACCACCTTTACAATATACCTAGAAACTATTACAATGTATTTCCCATCCACTGATCCTTCACAATGTATTCTGCTTTAGTGTCCAAGGCCTCAACATTCTGGCTTCAATAGTGGTCAGATTCAAAGGCAGAAAAAGTAGCTTGTTTTGGCCAAAAAAATTCTTTCCATTTTGTCCAAAAGTACTACCTAACAATACCCAGACATGTGCATACATGTTATATATGTAAAATCGCTAGGTATCTCCTTTTTCCACTTTATTAATCATTTTATGTTATTCAACATAGTCTATAGATGTCCTCTTTGGATCTGCCTTCAATACCAGTTTACCAGTTGAAAAAGAAATAACAAGATCTATTAATTTCAGAGCTTCATAGCAAGGTATTCTGCATCAGTTGGCTATTTTCATTTTTCTCCTCCCTGCGCCTGTTGGACATCAATTTCCCAGCTGCTCCAGGCCAGAGAGCAGCAGTGGTCGTGCCTGAGAACAGAAAACCTCCACCCAAAAGAAAGCTCAGAACTGGAGTACAGCCAGAACAGCTCAGCAAGCAGTGGGATCTAAGATTGAGGCCCATGTCTGCACTCTCTATATAAGGAAGGACAACAATCTGAGTCCTAAAAAGAATAACTAGAGCTTTAAAACCAAAACTGAGAGTTCAATTTCCTATTCTATTCCTTCTATCTTCCTTCACACATGACCACCAAAACTATCCTTTTTATACCACACCTCATCTTACTACTAAAATATTCCAATTAATTTAAGCTATAATTTCTAAAATTCAACCACTCCAGCATGACAGTTTCAAGCACTGAATAATTCCATCTCATGTTAATCTGCACTTACCATGGCAGTCAATCTTTTCCTATGACCCATCCAACCCAAGTTTAACCTCTTATATTGTTACTTTTTTTTTCTTAATCCATTCCATATTTTCCCTTATAATTTTCCTTCTGTTTATAACATCTCTTAATCTGTCTAGAAAACTTGGATGATCACTCATTTAATATTTATTACAAATGACTTTCAATGATTTATTAATTATCCCTCAATAAATACATTTAGTAAGAATTCAGGTCAAGGATACATTTAATCAGTTGGAATAATACTTATAAAAGCATTCTGAAAAAATATGGCTAATTTAGCTTTTGAAATGCTAACTATAATTAGGACCAGGAACATTTAGCTAAGGCTTCTGACTATACATTATTAAATTGATGATATCTGAGAGTTTATATATTCCTGTGTACAATAATCTCATTTCAGAACAAATTATAAAAATGGTCTTTGAACAGTGAAAGCCAAACCATTTGTTACAAATATTTGCCTGAGATGATTCCAACATATTTGAAAGAGTCAGAGAGTTAAACCATGCAGTAACACACAGCTTCAAAATGGCAGTCCAGACATTTAAGGAAACATACAAAGTTCAACGGTTTGGACTGATACAAATTTCAAATGCATAAAAGGTTATTTTGAAAATATTAAAATAATTTGAGGCCTATTTACTTTATGAAAGTACTCACCTGACTCTTGCAAGTATCTATATACCAAGAAGTTGACCTCATCACTGCTTATACTCATCTTTATTCCCACTTAAACCATGAGGTCACAACACAGGATATAACCCTAAAAATAAAACAAAGTTAATTAAGTATTTTCTCAATAAAATATTTAAACAAAATGTAAACAATGTTGTAAAAACCATTTGATTTTATTAAATGATGAAAAAAAGAAGGTTCTATATTGCCTAATAATGAAACCTAACAAATAAAATTATTTCCAATAGTTAGTAATAGATTTCACAACCAAAACATGGCTGGGTCTATTTTTCTGCAAGATAACATATTGATAAAAATGATTCTAAATTTATAAAATGGCTTTAGCATCACATTTTAATGATTATATCCAATAGCATAAAAAGCTGTTCCTTTGTTTCTCCGTAACTGTAAAAATTGTAAATTTTAAAAATCAGAATATTATATTTAGGAAAAACTGATTTTAGACTACTGGGTGGGGGTGGCAGGAAGTGAGCAGGTTTCGTCTACATAATTTCACAGGATCTGAAGTCTCTATTTTGTCAATATCTAACCTACAATGTTCAAGCTTCCAAAAGTTCTATGTATATAAGACAGAGAGGCTGGAATACAATCCTGAAAACTCAAAAGATAATCTCTTATCTTAATGGACATCCTTAAACCTTGAACTCAGAGTAAGGGAAAAAAAGAAACCAAGACACACCTTAAATATGTCTATACTTATCCATTCTCATGTCACAGAAGTGACTTAAAGCAGTAGTCAGCAACCTTTTTTTGCAGAGAGCCAGAGAGTGAATATGTTAGGGCTCTGCCAGCCATACAGTCTCATCACTACCTCTCAACCCTACAGCTATAGCACAAAAGCAGCAGCAAACAATATGTAAATAAATGAGTGTGACTATGTTCCAATAAAACTTTATTTAGGGACACTGATATTTGAATGCCATATCATTTGTTGTCATTAAGTATTTCTTTTGATGTCTTTCCAAGCATTTACAAATAAAAACTTTCTTAGCTGTAGTCCTTATAAAAGGCTAACAGGCTGGAATTGGCCCACAGACTACAGTTTCTTGGTCCCTTGTTTTAAAAGGATACACTAACAGCCGTGGCCAGTTTGGTTCAGCAGTTAAGAGCATCAGCCTGTGGACCTAAGAGTCGCAGGTTCAAATCTGATCAAGGGCATGTACCTCGGGTTGCAGTTCAATCCCCTGCCCTGGTTGGGGTCAGCTGGCCGGTGGGTCTCTCTAACATCGGTGTTTCTCTTTCTTTCTCTCCCCTCCCTCCTTTCCTCCCTCCCTCTCTCCTTCCCACTCTACTGATGATAAACAGGAAAAAAAAGTATCCTTGGGTGAGGAATTAAAAAAAATAAAAATAAAATAAAAAATAAAAAAGGATCCACTAACATCTAGTATAAAGGGGTATCGAACATTATGGGCCCATGCTGACTGTTTTACCACAGCATGGATCCTTTATGATGCAGTGTTCACAGTATACTTTAAAATCACAAATTAACATGCACTGCCCTAAATTGTGGAAAGAGTGGTGACTAAGCACTCACCCAGCTTGTATCTCAGAAAGGAAGACAAACAAGGAAGTAGGTAACACATTTCCAATGGGCATAGACAGAGGAAACTCTAACCAAATTTAGTAGTCCGGGAATACCACTTAGGTCAAGTGCCCCTGGTGTTTAGACCTGATGGACAGACAGGAGCAAAGTGAGAACACAGAAGTTTGGGGGAGAGGGCAGGGAATAGAAGCAATCCAGTGAGCAGTAACAGCGAATGAAAGGGATGGGTGAGGAAAGAGGAACAAACATGAAGTAAGGCTTGAAACACGGACAAAACTCGTATTCTGAGGGGCTTTGAAAGCATCACCTAGAGAAAATTAATGCACTGACAAGGTTTTAGGAGAGAGGTGAATGACCTGACTTTTTTTTTTTTTAACATCACCAGAGGATATATTTTCATTGATTTTTAGAGAGAGAGGAAGAGACAGGGTGATGGGGGAGGGGGGGGAAGAGAGAAACATTGATGTGAAAGAAACATGGATCTGTTGTTCCGTACGTGCCATGATCAAAGCTCAAACCCACAACCTACATATGAGCCCTGACCGGGAATTGATCCCACAACCTTTCAGTACACAAGATGATGCTCCAACCAGCTGAGCCACCTGGCCAGGGCTGATCTACATTTTTAAAAATGATCCTGGCTCTAACATGAAGACTGGACTGGAAGGAAACTAGACTGGAAAAGGGAGCAGAGTCAGAAGGGGGTCGTGGAAATCTAGCTGAAGACCAAGAAACCTGGATTGTGCCACTGGAGCTGGAGCCGAGCCCTGCGACTGATTCCAAACACATGCAGGGTGACCTACTAAACACAGGAATGAGGAAAATGGAAGACTCAAAGGTTCTTTTAGGACATCTGGATGGGTGATAATATTTCCATTTACTGAGATGAGAAACCATGGCAGAAGAGTAACATCTTGTTATAAAGAAAGAAAAAGGCACCCCCCCCAAATTAACTCAAAGAGTATAATTAATCACCTGAATATTCAACATACTGTACCCCCCAATTCATGGGGACACATGAATGACGGAAAGGTAGTGTACACAGCCTGGAGATGCTGGACACCGGGGGATGATTCATGTCCCAGGCAGGAAAGAGCAAGATGTCATGAGATTTCATCATGCTATTCAGAATGGCACACAATTTAAAACATTTGAAATGAAAATTTCCATTTAATATCATTAGACCATGACTGACCACGAGTGACTGTAAGAACGGAGTGACACTGTGGGTTATGGGGGGGGCTACTGAACTTATTTCACTTTGGGGTAATAAACCAATCCAAATAAATGCTAGTCAGATGCATTTGTGGAGTGAGGTAGTGAACAGTGAAAAGTAAACACTACAACTGTTATGTAATTAACAAAAACTATGGGGGTGGGGATGCATTAAAGCACTATTTTCTGACAGCTTTATTTTACCCACTTAGTCAATACTTTGAGCACTTCCAATGTGCCAGGTATTTTGACAGATGCTGGAGACATAGCTAAATAAAGTAGACCAGGGCTAGACCTTATGATTTTCTAAGTTGTTGGGAAGCAAGAGGGAGGGAGGGAGGGAGGGAGGGAGGGAGGAAGGAAGAAAATTCTGAGAGCACACACCCTGAATCTGAGTGTTCAGGTAAGCAAAGAATGTAAAATATAAGTAGCCTACAGGGTTCTGTAATAGAGACAGTGTTGGAAAAATTAATATTCCTTTTAATTTAAAATACCTGAAGTTTATCAAGTTATGTTTGCTCCTAACCAGTGTGCACACTGCTTCTCACTGATTTGCATGTTAAAGAAAATGAAGCGAAGGAATGTTCGCATTTACTGAGTAATTGTTACATGTTATGTATGGAGCTAGGTCTTTCAGACATTATTTCATTTCCTCTTCGGTGTTATGGTCCTCATTTTAATGTAAGAGCACTGACATATATGAGAACAGCATTTCTATATATAGATCTGTGTGTTCAGAAATGTCATTCAAATACTAAACTGACTTTCCTCAGTGTAGGAAAAAAATGAATAATATGGACTGTATAATGTAAAATAATGCAGTGACTAGAAAGAATGAAGCCCCGGAAGGTGACACTGCACAGCTTACAGGACTGTGATGTGAACAGCAGTCCTCACGGTCGGCCAGTGTGTGCAGTCACAAACAGACCCTATACCCTGATAAGTAACAGCTTCTAAACTCACGAAATTATTTCATTTGTTGGGGGTGAGTTCTCAATCTGTTGTGAAGCGAATTAAGAGTTCAGCTGCTGCCCTGCAACCCACTGAGCTATACAAAACTGTCAAATTGTCTTGTTAAAACCAAGACACACTGTGAAAATATCAAACTATCATAACTAACAACAACAACAACAAAAAGTGCGTGTAACCGGGTTGGCTGGGTGTCGTCCCATGCACCAGGAGGTTGCCGGTTGATTCCTATCAGGGCATATGCCCAGGTTTCGGGCTGTATCCCCAGTAGGGGGTGTGCAGGAAGCAATTGATCAATGTTTCTCTCTCCCTCTCCCTTCTTCTCTCCCAAATCAATAGAAAACATTTTTTATTAAGTGAGTGTATGTGGAGGGGAAATGAAATATGAGTGAGGAGAGAGGTTAACTCAACTTATCCATCAGTGACGTCAGGGTGGGTATGACCATGTGATGGCTGCAGAGGATTCCTATGTTGAAGCCCTGGCCACCAGTGTCTTGGAATGTGGCTTTATTTGGTGATGGGACCGTTAAAGAGGTGATTAAGTTAAAATGAGGCCAACAGGGTAGACCTTTAATAACCTGAATATAACCCAATATGACTGGTGTTCTCGTAAGAGAAGGAAGAAACACCAGGGTGCACGTCACAGAGGAAAGCCATGTGAGGACACAGTGAGGAAACCACCTGCAAGTCAAGGAGAGAGGCCTCAAAAGACACCACACCTACTGGTTCCTTGAATCTAGGGCTTTCAGCTTCCAGACTGTGAGAAAATAAATTTTTGTTGTTTCAGCTGTCCAATTTGTAGAAATTTGTTATGGTGGCCCTGGCAAACTGATATATACCCATCTTATACCACAAATTGTTAAAAACTCTCTGTTCATTCATTAGAGATTTTTAAAATTATGAAGTTCACAATTGCTAGGATCTGCCTTTCAATTTGCCTCTCTTTATCTTTAGGAACCCATCCTGTCCCGTAATTATCAAAAACAATGAGATTAACAGATTTTAACATTTTATAATCTGCCTCCCACTGCTCCATTCCCCTCACCGCCCGCCCCCCCCCCCAAAGAAACATTCTCAGCAACACCAAAAATGCATTACCCTTAATTTTCCACATCTTTAAAAACAATAATTAAAATTCTACCGTTAGGTAATAATACTTTTGTGTGTATAAAATACGGTACAATCAAGGAAGGTATATTTTAAGACTTAGCTTTGAAGTCTTTGGCAATATACCTTAAAATGTGCATCAAGTACATTTTCACCTTTTGCAATGTTAAATCTTACAAGATTTTACAGAATTTTACTAGACAAAATAAAATCATGCTTACCAAATTACTTTT